AAAGAAGAAAGCACTTTGTAATTAATTGATGAAAGTAGCTTAGGAACGTTTTTCAACTCCTGGGGTTGAGCTATTCTGAAAAAGTTGTGATTTAGATAGAAGACTTGTCTTGAAAGTATGCATTGATATTATAGTAAAGCACACTAATACCCTTACATAGGACAAAGGATCAATGATGTCCTTTTCTCTACTTTTTCTTGAGAAATTGGTTTTCCTACAATATATTCTGTTTACAGTTTCTCTTCATACAGTTCTTCCCATATCCTTTTCACTTCCACATCCAATCAACTCTAAGTATTTTACTTTACTGTCTCTTTGGAAACAATAACAGACATAAATTGACAGACATGGACAGATTGGTACACCAAGAACAGACAATAGAGAGGGAAGAGGACTAGATGTCCCATGAAAGGGACCAAGATATCCTACCTAAGGGACCCAGAACCAAAAATTTCTCCAGTTGGAGGCAGAGCGGAGGCAGGATGTCTCCTGACCTACACGTGTTCCTAGGAAAACCCTGAGACAGCTTAAGTTCATTTTCCTTCTCTTTCTCCAAAGCATCCCCAGATTGTTGGGGAGGACTGTTTTTCTCAAACCCATGTCTAGGGTATAAACTGTCTCAAGTCAGGGTCCAAAGACTGAAAGCATCTATGAGAATTACCTTCACTTCTCTAGATTTTAGCGTAACCCTAAACACTTAAACAAAATACATCTTACCATTACTTAGCTCTGGTCCAAATCTTCTTTACTTTCCTTTGCATGTGCTTCTGATTCCGATGGTGTCCTTCACTGTATATCACTTTCTGTAGATCCAACGTTGAGGAACCATCTGACCAAGCCTGCTCAGTCAGTCAACAGGTTCTCCGGCACAGGGGTGAGTATTAAAGGAAAAGAGATGATTAGACAAAATTGCAGCATGACCCTAGCCAGTTCTGAGGCTGAAGGCTGAGGCAAGTTTGTTTATTCCCACTGTACTTTTAAATCCTTTTAATTACATGCAAGTACTTAGGTCAGTTTTAGGTTGAGGAACCAGCAATACAATAGATACAAACAGTAGATGAAGAAACAAGGCAATATACAGAGTCCTGTGATCACTCTCATGGTCCATGTTTCTAAGGGCTCATCAGGATGCCAAAAATATCTGAGCCTACTTCCCTGTCCTAGCCCACAGTCATATTCATCCCTGAAGCCTACTTCTTTGTTCTAGACTAAGACTTGGATTACTGACTGAAATTAATTCTCTGTTTTAGCCTAAAATTAGATTCCTGCCTAAACTTACTTCCTTGTTATGGCTCAATATCAGATTCCTGCCTAAAGCCCATTTCCTTGTCCTTGGCCAATGCCATATTCCTGCCAAGCAGTCCCAAAAGCTCTCCACAGATTTCTGAAGGTTTTAGAATGATTGTATATCTCAGATTGTCAGGTCTCAGAAATTGAACAGATTTCTAAATGATGAGTGTAAAGACAAAACTTCTATAAATGGTGCATATCTTAAAGCAGTTATAACACAAGCATACATATACTTATAACCTGAGTAAAATGTGCTTGCTAGCATCATCAAGACTTTTTGAAAGTTGAGAATATTAAAGGATATAGGAAGAAATATATTTAGTAAGTCCAAGAAAAAAACTTATCAAAAGTCAGCTCACATACAATATCTCCAGGTTGATCACAAAGAATCATAGTAGACAGTTAAAAATGAAAAAGTTTTGACATATTTCTAAATGATATAAATCTATGCAAGTGAATTTTTCTTTTTTCTTTTTTCAGTTTTGGAAGACTCTGTGCAGCTTCTTATAAATGAGATAGTATAATACAATGCTCCTATATGTATGTCCATGAAGAAATTTTTTGTGATCCAATGTGAATGTATACGTCAGATCTCTGAGTCTCTTGTCAATTTTGTGGGTAAGATCTCAGTGATTTTACTCTCTCCACAATAAGTAAGTAGCACCTTATCCTTTTGTTTGCCAGTCATCAATCATAGATCACAATCCAGGTAATGGACCAATGATATTAAAATTAGGCAAGCCTTCTCATAGGTGATTGATTTTTGCTCTAAGTGATCCCATCTTTTTACATATTTATGTGGAATAGAAAATTTGAATGCCATGAAAGCTTATCCAGAAGTCCAAGAGTCAGATCATAGATAGACCATAGTGCTCTTAGCTCTGAGACAATGGAGTGTGCTGGAAAAAGTGCTTCCAGAGGATTGTGAAAAAGGGCTGGCTTATAAGGATGAGAGACTCACCAAGTTCTATCAAATTTATCATGTCTATTATTTAGTAAAAACTCTAGAGTGTTCTGAGAATGCAGTTTCATGAAGGCAGTGAAGGTAGAGGTAGCTACCTGAAAGAAACCAGGCACTGTATCAATCCATCCATAAAGCAGATGAGTTTGGTGCAAGTGAAGTCAAACATTGCAGGTAGGAAGACAGGAGATAGTCTTCTCTGTGGAGTTGCTCAGGCATGGGGCAAGTGTAGCACAAACAGATACTGTAGTCAGCCAGCAGCATTCCTGACCTGGGACTTGGGTAGTAATGAATTCACTTTTGCATTTATGTAAGAAAAATCCAGCCCATATTATTACATATGTGTGAATGTCTGTGCCACATTTTGATTAAAGTATAAAATAAATTAGCATTTTGATTGACTATTTATTAGCAATATTTTATTGCTTAATCAAAGCATGTATGGTTTCAATACATGACATATATTCACATTGAAAGATAGTTTTCCTGAATGGAAACATTATGACTACATACTTAAGAGTCACCTTGGTCATTAATTTTTCAGATAAATCAGTTTCTTAACCTATCCACCATCCTCTTCTTTCGGACACCACTCCTGTTTCCATCATCATCTTCAGGCCATGGGTGGGTGTCAGTCTCACCCTGTAAATACATATTTCCAATAAAATTCTTCTCTGCATGTCCAACCTTTTCCCATTCAACCTTTCATGGAAACTCACACTAAGACAGAGAACTACTATAAGTATAACTTCCCATGTATAACTTCTACATTTAATCCTTTCCATGCTTCTTAAAACACTGTTTGAGTCCTTCTGTCTTATACTTAGACTAAGATACATGTCTTCTTAATATATAGAAAAGACATTCTGCCTCTAGCATATGCAAGTATTGAATCCATTGTATATTTAAGGACAATAATAATTATTTCAGAGAGAATATTCACACAAATTGAATGAAATAACTTCTGTTAAAAGGAGGATGAAGTCAGGTGTCATAATCTGAAGCCTTATAGGAATATTGTATATAGATATAATCCCAGATGAATCTAGGAGGAAACCTCATATGCATAGATTATCCAGAAGTCCAAGTGTCAGATCATAGATAGACCATAGTCCTCTTAGCTCTAAGACAATGGAGTGTGCTGGAAAAAGTGCTTCCAGAGAGGATTGTGCAAAAGGGCTAGTTTATAAGGGTGAGAGACTCACCAAGTTCTATTCATTTTATCATGTCTATTATTTAGTAAAAACTCTAGGGTGTTCTGAGAATACAATTTCATGAAGGCAGTGAAGGCATAGAAAGAAGGGAGAAAACTCATGATATTTTCAGGCTTGATGGAAGCAATTCTTGAGTAGTCAAGCTGTTGTAAATAAGTAAAGAGAGATTGTTTACCTGAAAAGATGGGTTATTTATGTGAGACTCTGTCTTCATTTACAAACCACACCTTCTCGAGATATTCTATTACTCTTCTGGGATTCACTGTGAACAAGAAGCTGCAACGTTAGTTGTGCTCAGTCCAAAGAGATACATTTACAGGAGGCTTTGATATACAAAGCTCAGGAAACATTGACGAAAAGGAAGTGTGAAGACTGATGGGCCCAGAGAATCAAGGAGTTGGTTGTGAGATTGTGTCTCCTAGTAACAAGGTAAGCTGTACCTTTAAAATGTTGATAACATGACTACTCAAATGTGAGTTAAACAAGGAGGATACAAATGAACATGACAAGTAGAAGGGGCAATAGCCCATGGGGTCTCACATCTCCAAACAATACTGTGGGAGAAACAGGTAAAGCTGTCAGCAGAAGAGCTGCTTCTCCTTAGGGAAGACCATACCAATGGATTCTTCAGGTTGAAAAGATCAGCTTTGAAAACCTTCATAGAATTAATGCTATACGGAGTCCATGAGATATATTTGGTATTGCATGTGTGTGTGAGTGCATGTGTGTATGTGTGCTTGCATGGGCATGCATGTGTGAGTATGTGTGTATATATAAATACATAAATTCTTAGAAAAATGTGTAAAAAGAGGTCATGAATTTGAAAGAGAACAAGAACAATTTTTGGGGGGGACTTGTAATAAGGAAAGGTAAAGTTAATATTTTGTAACTAAAATTCAGGCTCACAAACAAACAGAAAAAAAATAGAAGAAGCTGTATTGCCACCATAATATCTTCACCTAACTTTTAAAGGACAATGGATCCACTTATGTGTGGCTAGAGCAGTACAATATCTAAAACACCTAGACCGGGAGGAAAGTATCACAGAAAACTTTACATACAATATGATAGAAATCAAAATAAGGTGTAACTCATAGACTATTGCTGTTGTTTGTTGTTAAAAGAGAAGCATATTTTCTACCAATAAACCTGTACTGCATCTCAATTGGAGACAAAAGAGAACCACAGGTCTGTAATGAGTTACTGACCTGATGAGTCCTGCAGCTGTGCCTATTGTTTGCTAATTTGCATGTACCCAAATCATAGCCCACAGACATGAGGACTTCTTCATAATCAGGTCACACCCATTACAGGAGTCAGCCTTACAGAGATCACACACAGACATGGGTGTGCCCACTTAGCTCCTGGCATTTCTCCTGTTGTGGCTTACAGGTGAGGAAGACAGCACTGGAAATATATTCAGCTTCCTGTAGTTAGTGCTGCTTGGTCTCAGTGAAAATCCTCTTGCACAGAATTAACCATGTGTGGATATTTTTTTCAACTTTTCAAATGTAGATGTTAGATGTGACATCCAGATGACTCAGTCTCCAGCCTCCATGTCTGCATCTGTGGGAGAAAGTGTCACCATCACATGTCAAGCAAATGAGAATATTTACAATTGCTTACATTGGTATCCGCAGAAACAGGGAAAATCTCCTAAGCTCCTGATCTATGCTGCAACCTATTTGGCAGATGGTGTGCCATCAAGGTTCAGTGGCAGTGGATCTGGCACACAGTATTCTCTCAGTATTAACAGCCTGCAGCCTGAAGGTGTTGCAACTTATTACTGTCAAAATGCTTTAAGTGATTCAAGCCTTGACATAAACCACCCAGGGAAGCAGAAGTGAGAGCACAGGCTGTCCCAACTCCCCCTTATGATGTCTCCAGCTGCTCAGCTGCTGCAAGTGATTATTTGGCAGGGCTTATAGGTCAATGTGATATTTTTATATAGTAGTCAGAGAAAGTTTTCTATGTCCTAAATCCCTGTTTTTCCTCCCATGCCTATTATGAAAACAAGGGAATGGGTTACATTATTCATTTGAAAAAGGAAAAAAATGAGTAAAAATACCTGTTTATGGGTAGCAGAATGTTGGTGACAGCTGTGGTTCATTTATAGAGGTTGTCAACACACACACACATACATACACAAACACCAACACACAAACACACACACACACACAAACACACACACACACACACACACACACACACACACACACAACCAGCCAGAGTTATTTTGGTAAGAAAAATGTATCTATTTATAAGATTAATATTCTGAGGAAGAAGTCTGGCAAATAGTTTAATGACTATGAACATTGGCTTTTCTTCCAGGAGGTCTGGATTCAAATTCCAACACTCATGTGATGGCTACCTTTTTATACTCAAATTCTAGGATTAATTTTAAGTCATTCTTCCTGCCTTTTAGTGAAGGAGTTTCTGCCTGTGTGCAGGCAAGTAAGGATACTGCAAAGAGGCAAGGAAAAAAGCTCAGTTTAAACTGATTTCTTCAACATGAATCAGACTTAGTAGTTTGATCTCATTCACTGTATTCCCAACAAATTTAAACATAGTATAGTTTGGAAAAAATATTCCTGATATAGCACTATCCCTTGTACACAACGAAGTAAAATTACATAGAAACTCAACCCAGGATACATGTCTTTTCTTATAAGATGACATTTGGAGATAGCTTACCTGTATTTTCTTAAGAGGAAAAGGAAGTGTCTGGTACTTCTGTGGTCATATAGATAATATAGATTTCATTTGTGTTATTAGCCACCTGGGTGTTCAAACTTGGAGGAAACTCTGGCTATAGAGATAATGTAAGGGTCACACATAACGCCTATTTTTTTGCTGCCTAGGAAATCTATGTTATTGCATTCATTTTCTTTGTTTATGACTCTCTTGACTATGAGTATGGATCATAAACTAGTTATCAGATATTTAATGGCTTCTTTTCTGTTGCTGTGATAAGGCATCATAACCAAGGCAATTTATCTAAGAATTTAATTAGTGTGCTTTTAGTGTCAGAGGATTAGTCCAAGACTAACACAGTGGAAAGCATGATAGCAGGCAGGCTGTAATGTACCTGATATTAATATCTTAACTCATCTTCTTAAATAGGAGACACAGAGAGCCAAAGAGATAACTCGGAGTGACCAAGATGAGATGGATATATTTACTTATGATTCTTTATAAGCAAAATACAAATAAGAACAAGCATTTCTTGTCTATCCAAGTAAATTTTATTGGTTCCAAGTGACTTCCATAACGATTGGATTTTTTTATACGTGACTGGAGGCATGAAATTTTACACATTGTTTTAACGGATCTTCTGAAATGTCATGCTTTATACAATGTAGATTTATGCATAGAATATTGATTAGATTGTTTTCATTGGGCATATATAGGGTTATTACATGCAGTAGCTACCACTTAGGTATACTTTATGCCCTTGGGAGTAAAAGTAGAAACCAAATCTGCATTAAATGCTATGTCAGGAAAGCTCAGGGAATTGGGTAGGATATTTGAACATTTTGAGATAGATGTTTGGTCATGCACTGGGCTGTCAAGGCCAGCAACATTGCAGAACAGTTGGTATTGTAAGAGTAATTATGTAAGCTGAGAATCTAAATGAGAATTGGTATGAGGCAATGAATGTAGAGAATAGGAAAGTCAAAAGTCAGCAGGTGAGTTAAATATAATGCCAGGCCTGGGCAGTACAGTATGCTTTGGTTTCTTTTGGCTTGATAGGGAAGGAGAACAACAGCAGAGAGAAGGTTGTCTTCCAGGATTGTGATGGCAAAGCAGGAGTTTAAGTCACAAGAATGAGATAAAGTAGGAGGGATACAATTTAAGGAACCATTTTGCATTGAACTAGAGAAAAGG